CATTTACCTTCATAGTTAAAGTCATATCGTTTATTTACATTTTAGTTTTAGTTCACTTTAAAACCAACCAAACATTCGATTGCACTTAGATTAAGTTAGTACTTGCATTCTCATCGCTTTTACTTCCCTCAGAACTGGTTCGACAACTTACTTCACTATACAACATTTGACTAGGAGCCTTGAAAACTCCTAACATCAGCACCCTCAAGTAGAGAAGATCTACAACGAAGTAGAGGCTCGGATCGAGGAGGTCCAGACTCAGCTGTCGCAACAAACTCCTGAAGGTCCACCGGTCCATCTTTCCACCATCGAGCAAGCCAAATTTTTGAGCAGGTAAAATATTTGATCTTTTGTTTATATACATTTTATGTTTTTTTTTTAATTAAGTTTTCACATATGTACTAACTAATTAATATTCATTCATCCTTTGAAGGTTGTCCTGAAAAAAGGGGACGTATAGTTGGGATCAGGACGGTCAACAATGTCCCGAGGGCGAGAGCTGAACACGCTGCAGAAATGGAAGAAGATTCCTCTCTCCGGAGGGATTTGGCAGCTGTCAACCGAGTCATAGACGAGCACAAAGACAAATTTAAGGCTATGGAAAATATGCTCGATCTGATGATGGAGAACTCGAACCCGAACCCGACCGTTGCCTCTGCATGGCAGGCTCTACATCCGAGCTTTAACACCGAACCCACTCCAGAAGATCAGGTGGATTTAGGGCGACGTGTGGCCCAACATACTTCTACTCTCTTGGACTAAATAAACCTGAATGCTTAGTTTTTTTTATTTTAATATTAATTTGTCTTTTGAATATTTTTATATTATGGATCTTATGTTTATGAAATATGATTAGATATATTTTCTGTTCAATTTATCAATTTTTTTAAAAAAAAATTAAAAATTAAACTATTTTAATTTTTTTTTAAATAAAAAAATATAAATTTTGTTTTGTCGTAAATTGGTCTCTAGTTTACGACTAATGAACATCTACTGTCGATGTTTGCTAGTCGTCAATGTACAACTAATTTACCTCGAGAGTCGATGTTCTTTAGTTGTAAATTTACGACCAATTAACTACAAATATTTTACGTCACGTTTACGACCAATCGTGTAATGACTAATGTACGACTAACTGTTTTACGTCACTCTTACGACTACGCGCTCTTCGTCTAATTTACGACCAACCCCTTAGTCGTAATATTACGACTAATATACGACCAATCTCTGTAGTCGCAACATTACGATCAATGTGCGTCTAATAGTGAGTTACGACCAGCGTATAACGACTAATCGCTTGTCAATGTTATTTAGTCGTAATGGTCGTATTACGACTAATGAATTATCAATTATGTAGTTGTTAAGGACGTGTTTTCTTGTAGTGATGGGTCAATGAATGAAACGGTATATTCACAATTTTATTAGAAAAATAATAAAAATAAAAATAAGAGGTCAAGACAGAGGTTATGTTATGAATATGAAAAACTTCTCCATAAAAACTATAAGCGCATATGTCTTTTTTTTCAATGGCCAACATTTTTTAATGCTAAAATATTTTCTGAGAAACTCCATTGAGAACTAACCAATGATGATGGTTTTAGGTTCTTTACTATTCTTTCTTACCTCTTTATCCACCAATTTATCTACAGTTAATCCCTTATTTTCGTGATTCTAAAGATAGAGTACTTTCATATTGCTATATAAAAAATCTTGAGTCCTCAAAGGTTAAACAACAATCTACGTAAACGTACTTTTCTCATACGATGTTAAGATTTCAAAAATTGTTATGTTTTACCATCGCTCTTGCAACTCTAACCTTTTTCGATGGAGTAACAGCTCACGTAAGAATTAAACCTGTAAGAATTAAACCTGCTTTACCGAAGACTGGAGATCCAATAACTGTGGGTGATGTCGCGCCTTATACCGTTAAGGTTGTATCTACTTTCGTGGCCAGCCTCGAAAATGAATGCGCCAAGACAGAGAACTTTAAGAACTTCTTCGACAAAGTTAATGACTTTTCCAAGTACGTATCCTCAGTCTCTAAAGTGAAGGATCGTGAGTCTCAGATGAAGGCTAAGGCAGGTAGCCTTTTCCAGGCCATATCAGCCCTAGGTTCTGATGAAAAGGGATCTAGAGGAGGAAAGGTAAGTGATCAAATCTTTTGAATTTGTTGTGTCTATCAAACTGAGAAAACTCTATACAATTTATTAAGGGTTATGCTTAAATTATAACCGCCGTGTTAATTCAACTATTATTGGTTAACTTTCACCCCAGGCTGAATGTTATCGAAATAAAAAGAAAGTCAGTTCTTGTTTGATATACATATCACAAAACATAGAAATCCTAAAAGACCGAAAGGAAAAAGAAACTAAAAATTTTACTTGTCCTACCAGTTATAGCCTAACAACCGTTTCGGTTCCTCTGGTTTCCGTAGGTGAATAAACTACAAACGGAGAAAACTGAAGCCATGGAAACAGTCAAAATGTTGCAATCTATTGGTGAGGAAATTACTGGGGGACAGAATAACAAAACAGAGATAAACGAAACATCAAAACTAACCACAAAACAACAAAAAGAAGTAAAAGATGGGATCTTAAAATGGCTTACAGTAATCACTAAAATCGCACAGAAAGCAGATGAAACTAGCATGCATTTTTTATCAAAATTGGAAATAAAGAAAGAGAGCAAGGATGGAAAATCTTCCACAAAAAATAATAAAAATTCTGAGAAAAAGAGTAAGGATGAAAAATCTTCTACAAAAAATGATAAAAAGTCTGACAAAGAGAACAAGGATGAAAAACCTTCCACAAAAAGTGATAAAAAGTCTGCCAAGGAGAGCAAGGATGAAAAATCTTCCACAAAAAATAATAAAAAGTCTGACAAGGAGAGCAAAATGGAAAAATCCTCCACGAAAAAAGATAAAAAGTCTGATAAGAAGAACAAGGATGAAAAATCTTCCACAAAAGGTGATAAAAAGTCTGACAAGGAGAGCGATAAGAAGAAAAACAAAAAAGATGAATCAAAGAAGAAGAAGAATGGTGGTAAAGAAGGGAGTCATGGCTCTGCGAAATCTAAAGGAGGAAGTGATGATGATAAAAGCAGCAAAAAGAAAATAAAAAGTAGTGAAAATGCTGACAAGGAGAACGATAACAAGAAAAACAAAAAAGGTGAATCAAAGAAGAAGGAGAATGGTGGTAAAGAAGGGAGTCGTGGCTCTGCGAAATCTAAAGGAGGAAGTGATGATGATAAAAGCAGCAAAAACAAAATAAAAAGTAGTGGAAATGCTGACAAGAAGGGTAAGGTAGAGAAAAATAAAGAAGATTTTGGGCCATTTCGTACTAAAGAAGAAAGGTTGAGGGCTGAGGAAGCCGATGAGTATGACTAGAAGAAAGGAAACTGAGGTCTCTCTATCTTTTTCCACATTTTTTTTGTCGTTGAATAATATTGAAGATGGAAGACTTAGTATCGTATGTATGTTTACTCTTTTTTCTTATTTTCTTTTGTATATAATGGCTATAGCGATAGAAGCTGCTAGATGGTGACTAAGATAAGGTCATAAATCCGAATCATCCGATCGACATGAGATCGTGATCTTTATTTTTTTGTAACCGATACTTTTTCTTATCAATAAGTGTACCTAAGAGAAAATTAAAAACAGAAGAAACGCTTCAGTCCCTGCCACTTCTTCATCTACTTCAATCAAGGATGGATCCAATATCTCCATCTCGAAGCCATTCACTACTGTCAATATTTGTAAAGATGTATTCCGGTACCAGTGTTGCCTCGGCCATTTCTCATTCATGTAAAACAACAGCTCCAACCTTTTCTTCTCAGCAATAAGTGCTTCTGATAGTCTCAACTGAGCTCTCTGAGAAATTTTGTCACCTTGCTTAGGTTGCTGAGGACGTGAGTTCCATCATGATTCATGAACTACTCTTTGTCGTGGAATACGGCTTAGAACTCACAGTCTTTGCTATACTGATCCCTTCCTGTTGTCTTTCCCGACACACAACTTTTTCTAAGACACTATCCTCCATCTGGCATGCTTTGTCATCTTCGTCAATCTTTTGTCGCGATGGTGTAGCTCTAGATCGTTCATGCGCACCAATTTGATAGAACTTCAATGTAGTTTTTCTTTGATTTACTGTATATAACAAGTGTACTACGCTTTCTCGCTTTCAATGAAAAGCAAAGCCCACGACGACTCACCAAATGACTAACTCCCATTATTCTAATTGGATCCTCTTGTATATATAAACGAGGCCAACAACAGTTGTAATTAACAAACTCTCAACCCACTTGTGCCAGCTCCTCACTTCTTGGCGACAACTCTTTATCCTCCTCATCTCTCTTCTTCCTCTTCCTTTTCCTCACATTAACCTTTCTGAGACATATCAGATTCATTACTGCTACCAAGTCTTAAAAAATACATGACAGAACTGGAAAGACAGTAGTGATTGTTGTCCCTCTGTATTGATTAGCTATATAAGCCATTTGTCTTCGCGTTGTATGACTTACGTCGGCGGCTATGCAACTGTTAGTGTTGAATGTTGATTACTTAATTTGTGCCTTTTTGACATATTTAATTAATTTGTGTTTGGTGCTTACTAATTTGTATAATTCATTAGAATCTTTTATAATAAAGTTAGTTTTTTTATAGAGACAAAAAAAAACACATGTCCCATCCCAAATGTTTTAGAATCAATACTGTTAAAATAGGATCATTCACTTTAATGAAATTTTTATTTTTTCTAAAAATACCCTAAATGATATAAACAAATTTTTATTCTCATTAATGACAATATAGTCTTTTGATTTTTGGGCTTACAAAACTATATAATTTGTACAAACAATATCTATCTAATGGGTTGCTTAATAGGCTTATCACTTTCAAAATACTTTTGAATATTCTTGTAAAATATAAAGCGTATCAGCCTTAATGCATAGTTTTTTTACGGGTTTATAGAATTTTTATTACAAATGTTTTTATAACCAATATGGGTTACATATAAAGTCATCAATTTTGTCGGTTTAACTATGAGTCCAAATTATGGTTCAGAACACTGAATATAACGCTTCATGTGTAACATGTAAATGTTGATACATAATAAAAAATACAAATTTATATCATATAAATTTGTTTTGTTTCAAAAATATTTCCACACTTTGAACCAGTAGCTGAGTCCTAGTTTTTAGCGAGATTTTTGGAGGTTTTATAAAAAAATTAAATATCAAGTTTTTAAAAAGAAAACAAACTGGATTACATATAAAATCATCGGTTTTGTCCATTTAACAATGGGTCCAGATTGTGTTTCATAACATTGAATATAATGGTTCATGTTTAATACTTAAATTTCACATTTAAATGTAAATACATATTCGAACATGCAAATTTATAGCATATAAATTTGATTTTTACCAAAATAATCCCGGCTTTAAAAGCGCGGATCAAAATCTAGTTTTCTTTTAAATTTTTAAAACTTTATAAAACAAAGATTGTTGTTGAGCTTCAGAAAGAAGTTATGTTATTAGTAAAATATATTTCTTGGGATTTTATTGTTGTAGATTTCATTTGGACTTTCAGTATAGAGTCTCTTAACATTATAGGTTTGTTCTTCATCTTCGTTTGAGATCCCTAGATCAACCGACGAAGGTAGTATATATTAAAATAAATTATCAAATTTCCATAACTGTCTTTTTTTGCCCCCATGGAAAAAACTAATTTTATTATATGTTGTTGGGCTTCAGAAAGAAGTTATGTTATTAGTAAAATATATTTTTTGGGCTTTTATTGTTGTAGATTGCGTTTGGACTTTCGTTATAGAGTCTCTTAATATTATAGGTTTGTTCTTCATCTTCGTTTGAGATACTTAGATCAGCCGACGAAGGTTGTATATATTGAAATAAATTATCAACTTTTCATAACGTCTTTTTTTCCCCATGAAAAAATAACTAATTTTATTATATAAGATATTTAAGAAAATTACCGTATCTCTCTGTTTTGGGTTTGATTACAATAATTCACTGTAGTTCTTGGGAATAATTTCAGAGTCTTATTTTTATAGTGATGTTGTAATAATTTTGTGTCTTATTAATCTTATGGCCAAGAATTGTTGTTAATAATCAACAACGGTTGTGCGGTTTTGGTTTGTTAAGAGAGAGAGAGAAATAGATCAATACTTTCTGTAAATACTCTGTGAGTTCTGCAGAAGAGGAGATAAAAATAAGATCGGGGCTATGAGAGAGTTATGTTTGGAGTAAAAAAAGAATTCTTTTTTTTATCATCAAACAAACAGACTCATAGAACAAAGAAGAATTCTTATGATGTAAACAAGAGATCAAATATTATTGTATCTAAATAAACTTTATAAAGGAGAAATCTTATGTTATGATTTTGTAAAATTTTCAAGCACAAATTTAATTTTGACATGAAAATTAAAAACAGACCATTTGTAAAACACAAACAGAGACGCTAAATTAAATAATATAAAAACATTAAGCATATAAATGAAACTATATAATCTAAATAAGACAAATGTACCAGAAAGTCTATAGTTCTAAAATAAAAATAGTCTTAGTCTCATTAATGTTTTTACAACTATATCAACAATTTTTTTATGATATTAAGTTTTTGCAACTAGAGTAAGTCTATAGTTCTAAAATAAAAATAGTCTTAGTCTCACTAATGTTCTTACAACTATATCAACAATTTTATTATGATATTAAGTTTTTGAAACTAGAGTAAGATCGGATATCATTGTATAAAATAATTTAAATAGAAACTGATACAATTAATAATTAAATAAAATAATCCATATATAATGATAATAAAATATTTCAAAGTAAAAACAAGTATTAAACAAAATATCTAACAATTATTAGAAATATCTTTTTTTCAACTATTCGAGAAAAAAACTACTTATTTAGAGAAAACAAAATAAAAATATAAAATAACGAAAAGATCTAAAACCTAATGTATAAAATGGAGAAGATACATGATTTATGTATTGAATTTAAACAGTATTTCTGAATATTTTTCATATTTTATAATAAAATCATAACAAGCCGTTTGATGTCAAAAAAAAAATCATAACAAAGAATAAAAATAAAAAATAATTACATTAATTAAATAATATACAACCATGTGCTTTCTAACAAAATAACAAAAATAAATACTGAAGATTAATTATTTTCAGTTACAAATAAATTGGTTAAAGATGTTAATTTTAAATATACAATTTTCATTAGAATTAATTTAATAAAGTATGCATATAAATCAACTATATATTTGTTTTAGTTGTATGCAATCAAGTTTTTGTATACTTTCTTAAAATTGGTCCTATATTTTATGTTTATTTTGTGTTGTTCGCCACAAATTGCAATTTAATTAAGAACTTGAGAGGAGGGCCCAAGGAGCCATTTGCATGACTGATGGCAAAACCCTTTAGCCCACATGAAGTAATAATTAACCTGGCCGATTTCTGTGTCTTGATCCACGTGCGTTTTCTACTTGCATTTAGAACATGGCCAACGCCAACAAACGTTTATAAGTTTTTATTAATATAGTACTATTATTTTAATAACAGATTAATCTGTATTATTAAAGTTGAAATACATTTGAGAATTGTTTGTAAACATGGATAGTAGTAATAAAGAGTTTAATGTTATTTGGATATAAGTTTAATACAATTAGATTTTTAAACATTGTTATAATAGAATTGGACTTTTGTTTAATTTATTTTATAATATGGCTGACTTTAATCATTTGGTCAATTGTATTAATTCATTTTTTATTTTATATTTTATATAAAGATCGTATTCAATTTTATTTGTTGTTGACTAAATTAAAAAAACATCAGTTTTTAAGATAATAACAATTTACATTTCAAATAACTTAAATATTTTTTATCTAAAGTATTTTACATTATTCAAATTATCATAAAGACACAAATACTTGAATAGTTTTAACTAAAATATTAAAATTTTGTTTTCGTAACTGGATATTTATCCGAAACACCTCTCCTTCTACAAAATCAGTTTTACCCCGATTAATCTAAAATTAACCCTAGAAATCATAACCAAACCGTTATTATATTGGAACCAAAAATTAATATGTTATTAGTCGGTCATTACCAAATCCAGTTCAAACCGGACGCAAATCAATTCATATTGATAACTGAACATATTTTATATTTGTAGAACTAAAAAAACTACAAACATAAAAAATTCAACAAAAGTTAAACCCAAAATTAAATTTCAGTCCTATTACATTCAATATAATCACAATTTCTAAAATATGGTAATAACATATGACCTATGAACATATTATTTTTTCACAAATTAAGTTAAAATCGCGTCGGTGCACGAATCAAGATCTAGTAAACG